ATGCCCAGATCACCCAGCAGCCGTCAACACTCCAAATTTCACTTCAGGAAAAACCAGGATATCACCCAGTCCCATGGGAACTCCAGCACACCGTGAGGAGCAGGAGAAAGGCTGGAATTTCTGCCGGAATTTCCTCTCCCCTGCCTCAGCCCAGCTTGGAGGTGGTTTGAGGTTCAGCCCTGGAATTTTGGTTATTACACAAACTCGTTCCCACTGTGTTACCTCTCCTGCTAAATGCACAATTCCCCCTCCTGAAATTCCCACATCCCGATTGGAATTCCAAACGCAGCTCAAGGAAAGCTGCCTGCTTCTCCTCACCTGACCAGCTGGAAACCACATGGAAACGACATCTAAAAAAGAAATAATAAAATAATCTCATTTCAGAGCCTGCTGTTTGTGCAAACAACCCCAGGCCCGAAATAGCTGAGGTGTGAAACTGCGCTTGGGTGGAAGTTGGGGGAATTCATTCACAGAGGGAAAAAAAAAACCAACATTTCCAAAAGAGAAACAGATCTGGGGATGTGGAATCACGGCTCTGATTCCCACCATGCTAAGAGAGGCTTTATCTGGGATTTTCTGGGAAGGATGAACCTTTCCTGTGGCAGCCATGGCTGACCAGGCCTCGATGAACCTGACCAGGCCTCGTCACCCTCATCCTCTTCCACAGGAAATCTCCCCTCAGAAAAGGCATTTTGGGCCAAATCTTGGGAAAGAAAGTGTTTTACCTGTGCTGGAGAGCAGCTCCCAGGAAAGGTGGATCCCAAATCCACGCTGAGGATGAGCTCTGGGGTCACCACTGGCAGGGACAAAAGTGGCTCATCAGGCCTGGCCTACACCGAGATGTTCCTTCCCTGCCCCAAGCTGATTTGGGAAATATTGGGAATTATTGATCAGGGAATCATTCCCCCACCCAGCCAGCTGTTTGAATTAATCCCCGTTGTTCATTAACCCCATTGTTCATTAACCCACTGTTCATTAACCCCTCCCAGCCCCGGGCAGAGCCTCAGGTGGGAGCTCCTGCAGCTCCAGGCCAGGATAAACCCACATTTTGTTGTGTTTTACGCTCAGTGATGGCTCCAGGAGAGCTTGGGCTTTCTCCTGGGATGTGTGTGACCCAAAGAGGGGCTCCTGTCCCTTTTCCTTCCCATTTCAAAGCTTCTCCAGGTGTTGCCCACCAGCAGCTCCCACCTTTTGTCACTCAGGGCCAGGAGCTCTCTGAGTTTTGTCCCTCTCTGATTTTCACATCCCATTCCCACAAAAACCCTTCCCTGCTCTCCTAGGAAAACCCAAGCTCCCATTTTCTCCCTGCCTCGAGCCAAATTCTGCTGCTGAACCCCTCCAAGAACTGCATTTCTCCCCAATAAAACTCAAACCTGGAAGGGAGAATCATTAATAAAAATCCAGTTCTGACTTTATTAGGGAGAAAAAAGGAAGGAGAGGAAGGAGAGGAAGGAGAGGAAGGAGAGGAAGGAGAGGA